TGACAATGTACTTTATGATAAGAACTGATCTGAGGACATTTTTCTCACCCACTAACTGGCAGATTGTGAGCACTGATCGTGTGCGTCAACCTGAATCCTCCTGCGCGTGTCAAGTGTGCTGACGGACCTCTGTGGTGAGCGAGTTGGGGATTCACTCGACTATCACCAGGAAACTCTGAGTCCTACAGTACAATGATAGACAATTAGTTAACAAATAAAACATAATTCGATATATTACATTGTTCTTGCAAGTTACAATAACTTCCAATAAATATAAACAGTCGGACCGCCGGACGTGTTCTTGGACAAGACATTAACTCTCATTTGACTGGAAGTTCCCCAACCAGGTATTAAATGCACCTGTAAATGGCGATCAAAAACTGTTGAAGAAACAAATCTTGGGGAAAGGAGGGTGGGAAGCTTAACCTGAAGTCGATTTGCACTCCATTTAGGGCATACAGAAGGATTCATAATACATACATGTACAGTACCGCTCAGAACTAAGCGAACCAAAATTCGCGTTAAGAACGCGAGTGGATCAACGCGCGCGCGTTTTGCTGCGTTAGACCGCGTTTTGACTTCGCGTTGTAGCGCGTTAAAGTAAACGCATTAGTAGGTATGAATTTGGTTATTGTTCGCTTCTTTTGTTACTTTGTGAAACGGAGTTAATGACCTTTTCAAACGACGACAATCTAAATGAATGTCATGTGTTTTCAAGGTTCACACACGGTCTAACTCTTTAGTTCCGGCTGAATATTTCGTTATCATTACTTACCATTTGTTTTAATTCTGGCTGAAATTTCACACAAAAACAACGACTTGAGTAAACTTTAAAGTTGCCCAGGCTACACAACCAGCGAAGTTTGCTACATGTAATGAGCCGGCTTAGTTTTTGCATAGCTACATCCCTGAATACATCATCCTGTTACATAAACCAGGATGTGAAAGAGTATTAACTGGAAATGAAAACCGGCTTTTCGCATTGACTTCAATATGATGGCATGTACATTGTACATTAATTAACACATAGTTACGTGCATATTTTGTGAGACTGATATCCAAGCCATCACACTGACTGGAAACAGTTTTTGCCTTTTTATTACTTCGTTTTCAGTTTACCTTGGGGTGTTGGCTTTGGAGCTTCTGTTGGGGTCCAGTCTCATTATTCTGAGCAGCTGCAGGGCGGTACTGAGACATCTTTTTCTGGGTCTCACCTCCTTCATTGGGAAATAATTGATAATGAATTAATATTATTAATTAGCAGAGTGAATGCAAACAAAAGAGCTAGTGAACATTAATTTTACAAGAACCTATGATAGACAGTGCAAAACAAATTGAAAGTACAAAGGAAAACAATTAAAAGGCCTTCAAACAAATGAGATGCTCTAAGTTAACATGTGTATTCATTTTACAGTTAATTAACCTGCCTACTTGACACAAACCTTGTGTGAGCACTGCCTGACTCCCTCCCACTTGATGGAGAGTCGTCTGGAGGCCTGTCATCTGACAATTTGAAAAAAAGTTCCAATCACACAGGAACATTGCAAACATACATACATGTAAAAGTACTCATCTAGTACTAGTGCATAACTGTACTACAGTATACAAAGTTTAAAAAACTACACATTTGATTTATAAACAACTGAATTTTATTGGAAACCAGCAACAATTGTTATCAGATCCTTATACTGCCACCTCGACATGGAGATTAATTCAAATAAACTAACTCTACATTTATTGTGGAAAGTATATATTACTATNATCCCTTTTTGCAGCAACTCATACCTGAAAATATAATTTACGATCAAAATCAGACTATCTAGAAATGAGTTCAAATAAGACAGTCCTGTTCACTCAAACTTACCACTCAGTCTGAAAACAATCAAGTGTTCTCGTCATCCCCATTTTAACAAGAAAGTTTCGCACAAAGTCTTCCACAATCTCTGGTCTCTGGGTGAAGGTCATGAAAGCAAATTGTCAGGTTACAATTAATCATAATTTTAACCCATTGATTCCCGTGCTGCCCGTAACTGCCCATTCGAAAAACCCCTCCAATTTCCCGTGCCACCCATAACCGCCCGGAAAAAAGCATGTGGGGACAAATGTCTTTCCTACCCTCCCTGAAGACTTCTTGGTTCTCTTATTGTTCTCTTATCAAATTATCTTACTGTGAGTAATAAATTTTGCAGGGAAAAAAATCAATAAAAATTTCTGTCAGTTGTTTTATGGCAATCTCAGGTCTGCAAAGTACAATTTGTTCAAACTGTCCTTTTTTCGGTCATAACAACTTTAAGTATTTACTTAAAAACTACATGTAGCCCATAAACATGTAGCTACACATAGCCCTAAATGCAGTTGACATTTTTTGAAGACAGATCATTAATTACCAGAAAATAGTTCAGATCATTAATAATACTTACTGTAGTCACTGATGGCTTGGTAGGCTCAGTCTTTTGCTACAAAAATCATACAAAATTACTGTTAATGAGGATCTAGTGCTGTAATGTGTACCTGTACAAGTATAAGTACATGCACGTGTACACACATACAANGCAATAGCTAAGACAAGCAATCATACATGTATTTAATAATAACAAAAACAAGCCATAAGGATAATCTGTAACTGTAAAAATGGCAAGAAACCATACATGTAGTAATGACAGCTGTCATCTGAAGAGATGTTTAAGTTCACCTTACACATGTACAAAAATTGCAAACGCTACAGGGAATGAGACCAAAACAGTTCTGGAATTCACTATCAAAAGCTATCATGCAAGTATTGCATGAAGAGGGAAGGTTTAATCTGGCAAAAACACCAGTTAAATATCTAGCAACCAGTTCAACGTTTACATGTAAGCTTAATACGTGTATACCTCAAGTACTGTAATAATATCTTACCTCTTCATAGGCAAACTCATCATCACTGTCTTCAGCAACAGTCACTTCTGTTGAGCAGAAGTTAAAGAACACAAAGAACATGCACAGTACAAGTTAACTCAGACAATTACATGAAAGAATGAAAAAAGACACTCAAATAAGTTACATGCTTGAACTAGTTTGCCTATTTTGTTATTTAGAGAGAAAATTATTCTTGCTTACAGTACATGTAGCTCTGCAAAGAAGGATTTTGAAAACAAAATTGATATAAAGTTAGATACCGAAAACACATTGTCGTATTTTCTCTCCTCCTTTCACTTGTGACGATTGCGTGTAACCTCACATTCACAAGGACACTTGTAATATCAGTGCAGACCAGCTGAAAATCCTGAATTCACGTCTGCTAACATATTAATTTAAAATTTAGCTCAATTCCCGCGTTTATGTAATTTAAATTTCCACCTTTAATTGAGTTTTTCTCCGGGAGAATGAGGCAAAAATACATCTTAAAGTCATCTTCTAACGTAATCTTCAGTTCTAAAAAAGGAGCAAGCTGCAACAAGAGTGTAAAATGCGCAAAAAGGATACGTTCCAAGTAGTAAGCTCCCTCCTCGTCCGCCATGTTTCC